TTTCAACCTCCATGTGTTTCACGGCTTAAGAGGAATGTGTACTTTTAAAATGGCCTAAGATACTCTAAAAAAAGCATATATGTTGATATTTCTATTGATTTTTTTTTTTAAATGTCTCTCTCATGTCAGACCTTGAAGCATGAAAGTGAATTTACAGATTTTTCAAAGGCATTTAATAAGACATATTTCTACAATTGGCATCCCTTTTTTCCTGTTTTCTTTTGGTATTACTTAACATAGAATCTGCAGGTTTTTTTGCTGACTGATTTTGGAAAAAAAGATTCTTATGTAGCAGTATTTTGGCACTTTTCTTAAGAATATGTTGTATATCAACTACAAAACTAATCATGATCTACTGTGTAGCTGATAATGATACCAGATTTTGTAATGTTTTGGTGAGTACATTATTTTTACACTTCTGCTAAATCGTAATTCGTTACTCTGGAAATGGTATTACCTCACCTGTAAATAATTTACAGTTGGTGTTCTCACATAATGATTTTGTAATAGCTGACATTTACAAATTTTCAACAATCATTCCTGTAACTTATATTATTTTGTACTGATTTTAAAGCAGTAAGGGGGAAAATGTAATTGTGTATGCAGTTCTGGATTGACTCTAGATGTATTTTTATATTCAGAAACAGAAGTTACATTAATGCGGTGCAAAAGAAGTCCAGATGTTTTCCTGACTTTCTGCTGTTTAAAAGAAATACTCCTCTTAACTGTCATACCTCTCTTGTGTTTTTCAGTATGTTCTGTTGTAGTCTTACCTACAGACTGCCTGTATTGGTCTTGGAGTAGTTAGTACCTAAATTATTGATTATTACATTTATAAGAGTAAATGTGCTGAGGCTTATGTGCCAGGTTACCCTGACATGTGAACTTGTCTGGGGTTTTATTACTGACTGCTTCTGACTTGGAGGATTCTTGTTTGTCCTGCAGAAGTACTACATCACCATTGCTATAAAACTTTATGTGGAATGGTGCTGTAGTGGTAAATAAGGAAATCTCCAGGTATAAGTGATTAATATCTTATCTCAAGCGTGGTCGATGGTGGCACAGTTTTTGTGTGCCGTTTTGAAGAAACTTTCTGGACAGAGATCCGCTTCTTGGAATCTACCAGGTTTGAGGCTGTACTTGTGTAGTTTAGGTTTTGGGTTGGTTGGTTTTGGTTGTTTTTTTTTTTTTTTAAAGCTTCACCTTTTGGGTTGTATGTAGAATTAACTTGATTGTCTACCGGGTCTGTTCACTTGTATGGCAGCTATGAGTGCATCCTAATTGACTGTTAGTAATTTGATTCTTAGAGGCTTAAACTGAAAAGTGCAGTTCTTGCTATGTGGCTAATCCCTAGTCTTTTCACACGGAGCAGTATGATCCATTGTGAAATAATTCAGTATGTGAAAGAAAGGAAAAGGTTAGCGATCTAAAAATGACAGCATGAAGTTTGTGCTTTGTCAGTTGATCTATTGGAAAAGAAAAAAATGTGATTGCTACAGGCAAGTGAGACATGTGATTGCTTTCTGCATGTTTATAAGCATGGTAAGCCTGCAAAGAGAAATTTGGATTTTAAAGATACTGATAGTTTGAAAATGCAGTATAAGTATTTATCAGTTAGATGACATTGAGCACTGAATTGCGTGGTTGGTATCTCTCATAGGCCTCTCTCAAAAGGCCTCATGTTACTGATACAACTGTGTTGCTGAATTGTATATTTTTATGGGACAGCTAATGTTTAAAGTATTGAGACCAAAATCACTAGTTAGACCAATTGTGGATGTGTTTTAATTTAATTGTAAAATAGTAGAGATTTGTTTTAGAGCTATATATAAATATATATATATTAAAGAAAGGTATGGATACAAGATAGAAATGTGCGTTTTAAAACCTGTATCCCTTGTGTTACTGAACAAAGAGGTGTGTTTTGTTACTCTACGGAAATACTTACTCTAGCGCAGCTAGAGCTGCTAAATGCAGTAGCATTTTCATTCTGAATTGTAGCATTTGGATACAGTTTGTCAACTACTACAGAATGTGGGGAGGTGTATCTGGGCATATAAATTGTACGTGTAGAATTTAATAAGTTTGTAAATTGCAACAACAACAAAAAAATCAATAAACAGACAACTCATTAACAGTCATCTTTAATACTATGAAACCCCTATAATATTAAGGAAAGGGGTGGATTAAAATATGCCAAGAAACTTGATCTCTGTTACTACTGAGCAGTGCCTGTACTGTGTTAATATGCAGTCCCTACACACTTGGCATACTTGAGTATGCAAACAGATTAAGAAGAGGTATCATTTCTGCAGATAACTTCTGCATTTATTGCTGCTGTGAGGGATCTTTGGGTTTTATCAACAGAAAAATAAAAGTTAAATTTCATGTGCATTGTGTTTGTGAGTTTTTCTTCTGACTTTCCATTTTGAGTACTGTTTTCAGACTGCTGTGATTGGCTGTTTATAATCTCTAGGGCATAACATAAACACCCTGCATGTGTGTGGGCATCTGAAGAGAAAAACTTTAAATCTGTTATTATTTTGTCCTCCTGATTGCTTACGGATCTGCCCGTTTCTACCCCAATGTTTTGTGATTTGTTGGAGAAGAAAAGTAGAATGCTATAAAGTATCTATCATATCTTGGACCTCCTGCATTTTTGAGACATCCTTAGTCTCAGCTGCATAAACCTACATGATGCATATTATTCTGTCAGATATTATCTTTTAATTGTTTGAAGCAAGTATCTCAAGTAAGATACTTGATGTTGAATTTCTGTAATTCATTATTTAAAGACCTTGCAAGGTTGTCTGCTCCTCAGAAAAATGTGCCTGGAGTTACGAACTGAGATAAAGGTAGGAGAAAATGCTTCAGTTCTGAATGTAAGATGACTTTTTTTAATGTAGGTAGGTTGGACTGCAAATTGAAAATATATGCAAAAATACTTATATGAGTATTTTTATTTGATGTAGAGGACTGATAACACATGAACTGGAAAACTGCAACAAAAGTTCCAGGGAAACCTTTTAAAATTTAGTGAGCATTGAATTTGAAGTTTTGATGTGCTACTATTTCTTCTCGTTTTAGAGACCCATCTTAGGTCTAGAGTGACAAGATCATGAAAAGTAAAACAAACTCTTTGCATCCCTCACCTTTGTTTGTTGGGGGATTCTTGTTTGGGTTTTTTTCTAGGTAAATTGGGTCTTTTGTTGGTAACAAAGGCTTAAAAGGTTTAAAATAAAGTCTTCCGCTCACACACATGCTAATAATTTCTTCCCCACTTCTCGAAGAAAAATGAAAGGATCCTTGTTGCACACTGCAAGACTTAGGAAACTGGTTCTATTCATTCCAACCTGAACAATCCTCAGATACCTATAAGACTTCTGTATCTGGTTAACTGTGTAGTTTGATGTATTGATAAATCTTGCTTACACAGAAAGGCTTCTGTTAATATAAAAGCTGGAGTAAGATGGATACATTCCAATATTGCTGGGCATTTGTGTTCAGTCTCATAAAACCTTGCATTGAAACGATGTGTCCTGTTGAGAAATGGTGATATTTAAACACTTGTTTTCTCCCTCTAAAGTAAATTTCCCCCCACCCCTCTTTTCACCAGTGTTTATTATAGTGTATTTTCCTGGCTGGTTAATCTGATGTGATGGCATAGAGGCAAACGTGGCTATCTACGAGTTACCCAGGTTTTTGTATGAAGTTACTGGATTTTTTCCATCGTATCATCTGTTATAGGCACTCAGACATATGTTCTTCCATGTTTCTTTCTCATTTCTCCTTGGCTATCCAGAAAATAGATCTGTAGAGGCAAAAAAACCCCTAAACCACCCCACCACCAAAAACAAAAAGTCAGCTTCCCGAACAGCGCAAGACTTGAGTTGTGTGCTTCCAAAGGTAAGTAAAACCACCTGTACATGGTTCTTATCTAATCGCAGCTCAGCTTCTCCGCCCGAGC